CCATAACGCGAGTGACTGAGGGGGGCTCTCCAGAGCACCCCTCACTACTGGACCGATCGTCAAAATTCAAACGGCGTCTGATAGCCTTTGAAAAAGGGGGCTTGAAAATTTACCAGGGCGTGGGTAAATTCTCGCTTAGCCCCATATGGGACAGTGCTCTAAAACAGTAGTTTTTCTTTGGAAGAGGAAGTGTACCTATTGGCTGTGTTTTACATATGAGAATAGGCAAGTTGTGCATCACGTGCTGGATATTTAGAAATTTGATTGATGTGCTGCGAACAATGGCTACCTGATTTTTGTCTGTTTTAAACCTATGTGTGCCCCATCGAAGACTTTTCAATACAAGTCGGAGTACCGGGACCAATAATAACCTTTACCCACTACCCAGTGAAAGTCCGTTAAAACAATTTCAAATGAAAATCATCAGCATTTTTTGCTTGTTCTTAATTTATGCTCTGACTTGTGGATTCGAACCACCAACCTCCGTGCCACCAGTTCGATACTCTAACCACTTCGCCGCGGCGGGATTCGTGTAATACAGTTAGCGAATACGCCGCCCGGCTGGGGGTCCTGGATTTCCACGCCCTGCTGGGGGGGGATGTTTAAACACCCCCTCCCCCTTCTAACTCGGCTCCTGGGCCACGTAGCGATACGCAGAAGGCGGCGTTCGAAAGAGCGCCAAAAATAATGACGAAATCACTTCGGGCACTTTTTTATCAGGTCAAAGGTCAGGTCACCAGAGGTCATTGAAGGCAAAATTTCGCCGATTTCCAGGTCGAATATCGACAATTTCTAAGAAGCCAACGCATAACTCGGGAACCAATAGCGCTACAGCGCCGCGGAAAAGCGCATTCGATAGCCCTATTAACCCGCGAGTTGCTGGGGGGGGGGGGGGGGGCGTTAAACGCCCCCACTTTTTCGCCGCGCTATAGCATAAAAACGGCGCGCCGCAGGCGAGACAAAAATTTGGCTACCTGTAAGGAATTGATTGAAGTATATTGTGTCAAAGTTAAAAAATATCGGTCGGAAAGTTTTAGAGTTATCGAGGTTTTAGTGACGTCATGATTTCTGAGTTTTCGACCAAAAACAACATATGTTCAAAAAATCATATAAAATCACAGAAGACATACATACATGCCGTAAACGCCATTAGACTGCCAATACCACGAACAATCAAATGGCTATATTCGATTTGTTATTATCGTTCCGCATTGTCCAAAATCTTGAACTGAATCTTGGCAATTTCTCGTGACTTCTGCACGACCATGATACATTCACTCGATCTGGTAACACTTATCTCGAACAAAAATTTGAAAGAATTCACGGCACGACATCCCCCTATGAAATTCTTCTCAGAGACTTATTTTGGATGTGTAATATGAAGCAATTAATTAAAGAGCCAACACGCTATTCAGAAGTAAATAATACTGCAAAGTGCAAATCTTAGAGATCTCCTAGTAGTATCAAACAATCAAACCATAATCAACAGTGGTGTACTTCCAAGTTTCTAAAAAATTGACGACTTGCCCATTTTTGCCACATTTAAGATCGCTGCCCCCTCCATCTCAAGACACACAACGCAAATTTGGGACTATAAGCAAATGGACGCGGACAAGCTTACAAGACTACTATTAGACATCGACTGGGATGGACTGCTCGACTGTGACTTGGACAACGCGACGGACAACTTCACTGAAGCCCTCATGACAGCTGCCAAAGCCTCAATTCCAACTCGTACAATATCACATAAAAGCAACGACAAACCTTTGGGATCAATACGGAACTAAAAAGCCAAATTCGTAGGCGTGACAGACTTTTCCATATCGCTAAAAAAGCGTAACATCCCTTATAACTGGCAGCGATGGAGGCAACAAAGAAATTTAGTCACAGCAATGAACATAAAATTTAAAAACCGGCATATTCAGCTACAATTTACAAAACTCCTAGAAAACAGAAAAGACTCCTCGACATATCACAAAATTCTTAACAACCTTATCGGGCTAAAAATACATAACAACATACCACCACTAATGAGACAGGACGGAACACCAGTTACTGACGATCTTGAAAAAGCGGACATATTTAACGACCATTTCTCGACCCAGACGACCTTAGACGTACAGGACAAACCAATACCACAAATTGACATGCCCAATTTACATATCCCTTGCCTAGCGGGGGTCCAAGTGACCGAAAGGGAGGTTCTTAACGTACTCAACTCTCTTCATTGATGTTAGCCCATTTATGCCGCTTGGGTCATATATGACCCAAAAGCAATATCTTAACATTTTTCCTCAATGGAGGCAAGTGGCACTTTGAGGAACTTGTGCGTGTGTTTTGTTGGATTTGTGGGTTCAGCCTTCAGCGACGAGCGTCGGAGCCGCATAAAACTCGTGTGAGCTCGTCCACTGAAGTTTCTGGAGCCAAAGACGACGGGACTGCACAGCCGCCGGTCACTGGCAATGGCGCGCCGCCCCCAAAAGTAACGTTATATTATGTTTGTACTTTACTATCTGTTGAATGATCGTCCACCTGGCATCTAAATTTGTCTGAAAAAAGGCATGATGTATATTTTTGCCCTTCATGTCGCCATCGGATAACTTTTTTTCCCTCGATAATTATCCTTGGGTCATAAATGACCCAGCCGGCAATAATGTCAATTTTCTCGTATGCTGAATACTAGGGAAGCGATTGATGATTATACGATTATTTATTTCTGGGGGTTGTGATCAGATCACAGTGGTGGATCCAAAGGAGGGGGGGGGGTCATATGGGTCATTCATGACTTCCCTTGGGACCCGGGGGCACCACCGAACTATCAGGGACACCACAGGCCTGACAGTGGCACCACAGGCCTAGTGTTGCGATATTGGGATATCATGAGCGAACCGGTCGTGCGGGGCCGTGACGCGGGGCGGGCCGGCGACTCGGCCGGCCGAGGGGCACCACGCACGGGCCTGTCAGGGGTACACTCGTGGGCAGATTGATGTTCTACAACTCTTTATCCACCGGGTTCCTATGGCTCAGCATTGGCAGCAGCCGCCTGGTACCGGTAGACTGTGCCGCTTCACTTACTTGTCAAGCGGCACAGCCTACCCACACCGTATGACACCGGTCTGGGTCGGTGGCTGGAAGGCGATGTGGGCCGCCTGTGACGTCAGCGCAGCGGTGAGGGCCGAGCCCGGAGGCATGGCTCGGGTCGGCGCGGCACGGCGGCTGGCGAGGGCTGGGGAGTGAGGTGGGGTGGGAGCACGGACCATCGCGCGGCTGAGCGAGTGTAGTTAACTTTCGCGTCTCAAGGCTCCAATTATTCTACCTATTAATTGCGCTAAAGCATTTGTTAAAATATCCTATGCTCAAGACAGCGCCTATCATCATACTTGCCATGTGCATTGCGACACACTTTAACGTAGCATTGGGACAGCTGATAGAATTTATATCACACGTGCATCGAGTTGCGGAGCTGCATTGTTTATAACAGATAAGTATTAAGGCCTTGATTGAGCTCATTGGTGTCTACTATTTTGCACAGCAATCGTCCAGAGACGTGGGAACTGCAGTTTTTGGATAGCGCGGCAGCCAACGCCCGAACTTTAAGCGAATCTCACTGTTCCTCTAATGTGTGATCGCAGCCACCAATAGCAAACCGGTCTAACTAGGAGCAAATAATTCGCGCACCTGGGACGGTTCAAACCGGGCTTCTCCAACCGGTCACCCTACGACTCTACCGTGCATCCACTGAGCTACCGAAACCAGCGACCACCCCGCCGCGGTCAAACGGGATCAAATGTCACAAAACTGTCATTGGCGGTCAGCGGGTGAATGTCATTTTGTTTTGTGCTGCTGGGGACCATTCTCGGTAGCTCAGTGGATGGACGTTCGTATCGTAAGCTGACCGGTGGGGAAGCCCGGTTCGAACCCTCCTGAGCGTCCGCCTTTTTGGCTCCTAGTTGGAACGGTTTGCTATTGGCGGCTGCGACCACATATTTGAGCAACAGTAACCAGTAAAACGCCTTTTGGGCGACCAACGGAGCGAGCGAGAGGATGGGCCTTGCACGTGCGAAATTGCGAGGGGGTACCTCCAACTAACTTGTGCACTGCACCCTACTAACCGGTCTTAAGCGATGTGCCAAATTTCAGCGCAATTGGCCTAGCCGTTCTCTAGATCTGGAAGCAGCACACTGCACGTGCGCACGTGCAAGCGGGGTCCAAACTGACTTTTGCACGGCACCCTACTAACTGGTCCCCAACCGTGTACCAAATTTGAGCGCAATCGGCCCAGCCGTTCTCGAGATCTGGGGTGCTGTAGCACCCCAACCTTAACACATGCAGATGAATTATCTGATGGAGACCTAACTGTGTACCGAGTTTCAATTCAATCGGCCCAGCCGTTGTGCCGTTATTGAGGTTGCAATTTTGGGGGTTCTTAAAGAATGTCCAACTTTACCACGCGCCACGTGCGGTGGTTGGCAAGAACACATGGTGGCCATCACACCACATAACTTTTACGTCCAAGTGACATTCAGTAAAGAAGACCGCTTGTCAATCGGATGTCCCGTTCCTAAGATATTAGCTTTTGAAGAGCGTCCCCACGGCCGGCCGGCCGGCCGCTCATACTCAGGATTTTCCCTTAATTCAGTATGAGACTCCGCTCGCTTCGCTCGCTCCGTAATAATCGCTTTAAATTGGTGTGTTGGCTGCCGCACTATACCCATAACCCCTAGTTTCCACGTCTCTAGACCATTGCCGTGCGAAACAATAGACACCAATCTGCTCAATTAAGGCCTTAATACTAATATGTCATACAAAATATAGCTCTCGATGCACGTGTGACATAAGTTCTATCGGCTGTCCCATTGCCATGCTTAAGTGCGTCGTAATACGCATAGTCGCATAGCAAGTAAATGATAGGCGCTGTCTTGGGCATAGGACATTTTAACAAATGCTTTAGCGCAATTGATAGGTGTTGTTGTTGTTGTTGACTCCCCACGTAGCGGTCGCTACGTAGCCTCTCGGCTCTGGAGGTACCTGGCGGCGGCCCCCAGGGCCGCCACCACGCCGCTGCCTCGGACCTCCTCCTCACTCGGGTATATGTTGCCTAGATGTCGTAGGCGTAGTCGCATCAGTGCCGGGCAGCGTAGCAGGATGTGTTCTGGCGTGTCCGCCTCCCCCTCGCCACAGCAGCGGCAGCCGGCCGCCCGGCACGCCAGCGAGTTACACTGTGCGCAGTCCCGGCCGGGGTTCCTGCCGATCCGATGCAGGTACTGCGCAGATCCCGACCAGTGACCAGCGCGCAGTTGGTGCACATCAACCGCCACCTCGCGTGGTGTAGTGCTGGGTAGCGGTGCGGGTAGGTGGCCGTCCATCAGCCGCCTATACCAGCCGTCCGGCCAGTTGTTGGTCGCCTCCTTTCTGGCGATCCGGGACGCCGCACGGTACACTGTGCGGACGTCGACCGGGACTCCCTGCTGTGGGAGGGCGGCGGCTTCCTTGGCGATGGCGTCCACCCGCTCATTTCCTTCCAGCTCGCAGTGGGACGGCACCCATTGGAGGTGGACTCTTCGGTCCCCATCAGCCACCAGTGCCGCCATGTGCTCCCAGATGGCGGCACCTAGAGGGGACGTCTGGGCCGCTGGTCCTCCCCTCAGCGTCGCAAGTGACGCCTGTGAGTCGGAGCATATGATTATATCCTGCTCGAGGGGTGGGTGCTCCAGGAGATGTTGTACTGCCGTCTTCAGCGCCACCATCTCAGCCCGGTAGCTAGAGCATATTTTCCCCGCCGCCTCTCGCAGAACTTCAGTCGTTCCGTCTGGGTGCTCGATGAGGACCCCGGCGCCGCCATCCGTCACTCCGCCGGTCGCCGACCCGTCGGTCCAAGCCCACGTCGCACACTGGGGGAGCGCTCCCAAGCACGCCTCCGCAGCGCTTCTCCTCATCGACGCGGTCGCTCCGACCGGGAGCGGGCCGACGTCCAGGCGGATCGACACGTTTTCCGTCGCTGTCCACGGGGGCGGTCTCGTGGCTAGGCGAGCTTCGACGGGCAACTCCACGCCCGCGCGGTCCCACACCGCTCTCCCGCGGTCTCTCCATCCGGTCACGGACTTGAGACGCGGCACGGGGGCCGCTACTGCTACGGCGTGCAGCGGATCCTCCGGCGGTAGAGAGTGCGCTTTCGCCAGCAGGCGTGCTGCCAGCGCATCCCTCCTCGCCGCCATCGGCACGACGCCCGCCTCTGCTCTCACAGCGTGTCTCGGGGTGGAGATCGGACAGCCGGTGATGGTGCGTGCCGCCGCCAACATCTCCACTTCCAAGACGCCGAGATGCGTTGTCGCAGCCGCAGGCAGCCACGCCGCCGCCGCGTGTTCTATGGCGCCGCGGACGTATCCGTTAGCTACCGTCCGGAGGAGCCTCTCGCCGAGCCCCCACGACCTTCCGGTGAGCTGTCTGAGTTGGTTGATTCTTGGTCTTGTCTTTCTTCGTAGACGACGGCAGTGCGGCCCGAAGTGCAGGAGTCTGTCCAATGTGACGCCCAGAAGGTGGAGAGTCTCCCGCGCCTCGACCGTGCTACCGGCTACCTTGATGCGGCAGTCCTTGGCGTCCTTGGCTTGCTGCGAGAGAACCAGAAGTTGGGTCTTCTCGCCGGAGACTCTCATCTTGGATTCGCGCGCCCACCTTGTTAGCGCGTCGGCTGCCCTCTGGGCCCTCTCCCTCGCCACTTCAATGGTGTTGCCCGCGCAGAGCACCGCCGTGTCATCCGCATACATGTAGGGTGTGCATGCGGGGATCTTCTTGATGACCTCCACCAGCGGCGCCGCCCATAACACAAACAAGCTGGGCGACAGCACGCTGCCCTGGGGTAGTCCGGCGCGGAAGACCCGCTCACCGGAGAGATCCCCGCGAACCTCCACTCTCGTCCTTCGGTCTCTCAGCCACTGCCACACCCAGCGGACAAGACACAGCGGCAGTCCCTGTTCGGTCAGGCTGAGCCGAAGGAGGCGGTGGTCCACTACATCATACGCTCGGGCAAAGTCAAAGGCCACGAGGACGTATTTCTGTGCCACGCTTCCATCAGGCCTCCTCGCCGCCGTTCTTCGATCGACCGCCGGTCGCTGCCATCCGTCCTGCACCTCTTGGACGAGGCGGCCGATGTTGTCCTCCACCGACCGCCCCGCTCGGAAACCCGTCTGTTCTGGAGGGAGCAACCCTCGGCTTTCCGCGAAGTAGGTAAGTCGGGCCAAGATCATGCGCTCCAACAGCTTGCTCAGGTTGCTGGTGAGTGCTATCGGCCTGTAGCTGCCCAAGAGCCTCTTGTCCTTGCCGGCTTTCGGAATCGGTATCACCGTCGCGACGCGCCACTCTTTCGGGACCTCTCCGGAGCTCCACGAACTGTTAAAGGTTCTGAGGAGTTCTTTCTTGGCGATCGGGCCGAGGTGGCGGAGCATCTCGTTGGAGATACCGTCAGGGCCCGGTGTTTTCTTCAGCTTGGTTTCCACGATCTGGGCGTTGAGCTCAGCCAGGGAGAAGGGCGCGCACATCTCTGTTCGCCGGTCTCGGCACTCACATAACCGTGCCGCCGGTTGAGACAACTTGCGCTTTGCGGTGAGGTCGACCTTCTTGTTTCTGACATGACGCGAGACTTGTGCGTATGTCTTAACGAAGGCGTTAGCTTTCTGCTTGTCCGTAACCAGAAGCTTTTTGTCGTCGTCCATCATCGCCTGGCCATCTCGGTGCTCATCGTCGGTCGCTCCTTCCCACTTTTTCAGAATCTTGGAAACCCTTCCGAGGCTTGCTGGGCGATTCAGTGTCGTTCCCACAAACTCGTGGAACTGCTCTCTGGAGACCCGTCCCTCAACCTCGGCGGCGCGCTGCTTTGCTGCGATCCAGCGCGTCCGACTGTCCGGATCGTCGGGTCGGATCTCACGTCTGGCAGCTTGACGGTCAATTGATAGGTAGAATAATTGGCAAATGGAGACGCGAAAGTTAACTACGCTCGCCAAGCCGCGCGATGGTCCATGCTTCCACCCCGCCTCACTCCCCAGCCCTCGCCAGCCGCCGCGCCGCGCCGACCCGAGCCATGCCTCCGGGCTCGGCCCTCACCGCTGCGCTGACGTCACAGGCGGCCCACATCACCTTCCAGACACCGACCCAGACCGGTGTCATACGGTGTGGGTAGGCTGTGCCGCTTGACAAGTAAGTGAAGCGGCACAGTCTACCGGTACAGTCGGGTACAGGTTGATGGTCCCCTACTCTTTATCCACCGGGTTCCTATGGCTCAGCATTGGCAGCAGCCGCCTGGTACCGGTAGGCTGTGCCGCATGACCCGAGAGTGAAGCGGCACAGCCTACCCACACTGTATGACACCGCCTCGGGTCGCCTCGTAGAGCGATTTGACCGGACGCTGCGTTACACCGGCTGGGGGGAGGGGGGGGGGGGTAAGGGTCAGGTCTGTCTATTTGGCTCGGCTCGGTGGATGAGGCGGGCTGGAGTGTGGTGTGGGGCGGGGGTGATGTGGGGAGGGAGTGAGCGGACCTGGGGCTGGGTGTGTGTGGTCACTTGTCGCATAGAACCGATCGTAATCCACCCTCCAAAAATTCGCTTTAGAGATATTCACAAAACCCAGGGGGTTCAAACACCCATCTCTCAAGTGGGGTGCGGAAGGACAGGTAAGGGTCCATACGGTCTCCTCATGAATTGCAGCAAAGAAAGAAAACAGACCCGTCACCAAATAATTTTTTTCTGAAAAGTGGACTAATCGCATAGCCTCGGACACAGAAATAAACATCCAGCACGCGAAGCGTCTCGAACCGGGCCTCTCACTACCGGTCAGTTTGACAGTCTAGCACTCCTACGCTGAGCTACACCGGATGGTGGCCACGGCCGGGGCAAAGTCTGGCCGGGCGGGCGGCGGGGCCGGGAGGTCGGCAGCAAAGTCAATGAATGTTTTTGTGGTTTCGGGTGCCGGTCGCTCTAGCTTGGTGGAATGATGATGGATCATTGGCAAAACTTTCAACGTAGAGTCCCGGTTCGAGCCTCATCGGGGCACCGGCTACTTTTCCGAGTTAGGATCTGGTTTGATTTTAGTGGTTGCGAGCCATTTATACGGATTTATATCTACATGTCGATTGTCGATTGATTGGGTGTCACTTCATTCATTCGTTCGTTTAATACATGTCAACATTTAGCATACGAATTGACATCCAGGATCAATCCGATCAATCTACCATTTTCATAAGCGTATTGCCTAAATATCATGCATATATGTGGCACAAGACCTATGGTTGCCTCGATACCGTGCTAAATCATGTTTTGCACAATGCACAAGTAAATTATATTCGCTGGGTCTTCCGTGCATTGTGCTTAGCAAAAACAGGAATGCAATTGTTAAGCGACGCAAAATGTGCAATGCAGCAAGTGACCACACACACACGCCCAGCCCCCATGGTCCACCAACACGCCCCACACCACTCGCCAGCCCACGCCAACCACCGAGACCGAGACGAGCCCCTCCCCCCGCGCTGCACAGTGGGGATTTTTCCGATCTAGCACGTATTTATTCGTAGAGGGCAAACCATAGGTAGAATTGTAGCCAGATTGTGCACAGATGTTGGCTGGTGTGTCCTGGGCCCTGTTCAAGTGTCTGCGGCCGCCGCGGCTCCCGCGGCCAAAAAGGCGGAGCTTAGCAGGCGGCCAATCAGGCGAGAGCAGCATTCTGGGTAATGCGTAGCTCTTCCTGCGGCTCCCGCGGTCGCTCGGGAGCGACCGCAGGGAAACTTCGACATAAACTGCGCGCGTGAGACAAAACATTGCGGATTTCGTTCTTTGTTTCGGTTGATTTTATTATGTTGTTAAGGAATAATTGCTTTAAAAAGGTACTTATTGAAGTAATAAAGCCATTATGAAGCAATTACGCACACAATTTTGATCAGCATCTCCTTTCAAAACAACCGTGCCATTCTCGTCGCTGGCCGCAGCGGCCGCAGCCGCGAGGGTGTTCAACCTAACCGAAATTAGGCTCCGCCTCCCGGCCGCGGGAGCCGCGGCGGCCGCAGAGCACTTGAACAGGGCTCTGGTGATAATTTTACCTGTAAATGTGCATAATCAACATAGTAAAGGGGGTTCAATTGGACCCCCCGCTCAGCCGTTTGGCCCCTGATCAAGCTAGAGCTTCGCGGAAAAGTCAAGCGTGCTGCCTATGACGAAATTAGGACGAATATATCCAATTTCAAAGTCCAAGGTCATAAGCTGACTTTCCAAGTCAGTTTAATGACCCAACTAAAGTTGGGAAATCGAGACCTCTTGAAACTTCGCAAAGTTAGGGTGTTACGGGGTATTTTGGGGTGCTGATCACGAATTTCATGTTAGTTTTGATCACAGACGATGTCTTTATGCATTTAGGCCAGGTCGGGTCAGGTCAGGTTAGATCAATTAGTAGGCGTCCTGCCGGCCATCCATAGAAGTGTCACCTACTACTGATAGCTTCGTAACATGGAACGAAGGCACTAGAACTACTTCGTAAATATTCAAATGGCTGCTAAAATCGAAATCAGCACCAAAAACTACCCTAGAAACAAGTAAAACTCGAAAAAGTGAACCAAGGTCATCAAAAGGTCAATGACCTTGACTTGACCTTTACGTGACCTTGACTCCCACCATTATGCATGGCACCAACATCATTTCACATATTTGAACGTTTAAAACCACAAAAAGACTGGAAACCGCGGATAATGTGAGCTGGCATACGCCGAATCGCGATTCCGGCCAAACATGGTCTCGAGAAATATGCCACAGGTCAAAGGTCAGTTGGGTCAGAGTCATGAAATTTTTAGGTTAGATGTAAAATTGATGATCTCGAGGGTACCGAAAGTTTCGGCGCGATCGGCCGCTTTTTGCGCGAGTGATTTGCGGAAAACCATGGGGTTTTATCCGACCCTTTCCC